GACCCCCCGCCGCCTCTTCCCGCCCGTTGCCCGAGCTGCACCAAACAGCGCTCAGGTTTCTGCTGATACTGCAACGTCAAGAAATGGCTCGAGTTTGCTCCTCGCTCTTATGCATGCGGCAACCTCCTCGCTTTTCCCACACGCGGCCAACTCCTGCCTCCTGCTTCTGCTTCTGCTACTGCCGCCGGGACGAGCCAAGATCCACTCCGGGGATGCGGCTGCAGGGCTGCGGCTCTCTGACATCTCCCCAGCCGCTGTTGCCCAGCGCCTGGCTTCTTTTCCAGCTATCTTAAGGGCAGAGGCAAGGAAAAAGGGCATCTCTCCAGGGGGTCTTTGATTTGGTTTAGTTACAAAGCGTTTTGAAAAACGTACTTTGCACTCTCCCATCCCCACCTCATCCCAATCCTCTATTGCAGTTCTCGACAGAAAATAATTAAACCCACTCGCCCTTGGTGCAGCCTAAGCAAGTGTATGAATATTTCAGTGTCACAGGCAGCTCAGTAAAGCGATCACTGTGTTATTAAGAGGGGTGCAAGAGGAGGAGAAGGAGGGCTGAGTTTGCTTCTGCAGTTTTTGTTTTGCTTTGTTTTTTGGATGCTGCTGCAGGACGACTTGACGCATTCCAGAACTGGTTCCTACCACTAACCACTGCATCTCACTGGGACCAGGTAAGGAAAAGCCTCTTCTCCCTCGCTATTGGACTAGCTATTTTGAACAAGGTTTTCTGTTTGTTTGTTTGGTTGGTTAGTTTCCACTTGAACTCCCACCTCTTGTCTCTTTCTGTGTGTTTAGCTGATGTGAAGCAAAGGGGAGATGCTCCACTCCCCATCCCTTATCCCTTCCATTGGTGTGATGAAGTTATCAGTGCTCAGCTAAGTCAGTGCAGCTTGTGAAGTGGGGTGTGTGGCAGGCAAAAAGATAGGAGAGGAGCTGACTCCATATCTCCCTGGAAAGCCCACCCGAGGAGCTCAGGCAGGGCAGGGGGTCTGTCTGTATTGGTCCCTTCCTGCTGTGGTGGTCCTGTCATGCATCCAGGCCTGTGTGGGAGTGCATTGGGATTTGCATGTGCTGCAGTAGTGGGCAGAGCAGGATGCTCCTTGCTGTTGTGAAAACCAACCCATTGCGCCTGAGAGAGTATTTGTGGTGGGGCTTAGGGTCTGTTTTATTACGTTTCTCTCCTCCCTGGCAACATCCTTCCTACAAGTGAGCTTTGTGCTTGTAAAAACAGGGTATTTCCATCTCTGCTATCCCAGGGCACAAGAGGGTGGGGACAGAGCTTGGGGCGGGGGGAAATGAGGGAGCAGGTAATGGAAATTTGCTGAGTTGGCATTGCAAGATCTTACCTCCCAGACACCCTGTGATTTATTTATTTTATTTATTTATATGTGTGTGTGTGTGTGTGTGCGTGTGTGTGTGCATGTGTATATGTGTATGGTAACACTGTGACAGCAACCGTGGCGATGGTCGAGTTGGAGAGAAAAGCGTCTGGATCAAGTTAACGGCAAAAGGAGACAGCTGGGGAGGGGAGTGCAGCGGGGGTGTGAGCCCCATACACCTCCTGCATCCTGGCCTGGGGTGATAGGACACTTTACCTTACCTTCCCTCTACCTCCTCCCCACAAGGTACTTCTTCCCTCCCCTCTTTACCATCCCTTCATCCCTGATGCCTTTCCCCTTATCCCAATCCTCCTTTCCCCATTTGTTTGTTTCCATTCTTTAGGTTTCTCTTTCATTCCTTCCTTAAGCTTCATCCAAACTCATTATTCTTCTCTGCAAAACCTAAGCCTCTCCTCAGCCATCTCCCACCCGCCTATCCTCCACTGCACTGCCCTAAGGCTTTCTGCTCCCCTCCATCCTCCTGCCCACTCTCAAACTTCTCTTCCTTCCTTGTCCTCCCTGCCCCTGGGTCTCCCATCCTGTGTGCCACAATGACCGTGATGGCTGGAGAGAACATTGACGAGACTTCTGCGCTACCTGGCCACCCCCAGGATAGCTACCAGCCTGCTGTCCATGATGACCATGAGTGCTGTGAACGCGTAGTGATAAACATTGCTGGACTACGCTTTGAGACACAGCTGAAGACCTTAGCCCAGTTTCCCAATACACTGCTGGGCAACCCCAAGAAGCGCATGAGGTATTTTGACCCCTTGCGCAATGAGTACTTCTTTGACCGGAATCGGCCCAGCTTTGATGCCATCCTTTACTACTACCAGTCTGGGGGACGGCTTCGCCGGCCAGTCAATGTACCCCTAGACATGTTCTCTGAGGAAATCAAGTTTTATGAGCTGGGTGAGGAAGCCATGGAGAAGTTTCGGGAAGATGAAGGGTTCATCAAAGATGAGGAGAGACCCTTACCTGAGAAAGAATACCAGCGCCAAGTATGGCTCCTCTTTGAGTACCCAGAGAGTTCTGGGCCTGCAAGGGTCATTGCAATAGTCTCTGTTATGGTGATCCTCATCTCCATCGTGATCTTCTGTCTAGAGACATTACCTGAGCTGAAGGAGGACAAGGAGTATACTGTGCAGCGCACTGACAACACTACCCAAGTCTACAAATCCAACATCTTTACTGATCCCTTCTTTGTTGTGGAGACCCTATGTATCATCTGGTTCTCCTTTGAGCTGGTGGTACGTTTCTTTGCCTGCCCTAGCAAGACTGACTTCTTCAAGAATATCATGAACTTCATTGACATTGTGGCCATCATCCCCTACTTCATCACCCTGGGCACTGAGATGGCTGAGAGGGAGGGGACTCAGAAAGGGGAGCAGGCCACCTCCTTGGCCATCCTGAGAGTCATCAGACTGGTAAGAGTCTTTCGAATCTTCAAACTCTCCCGACATTCTAAGGGCCTTCAGATTTTGGGACAGACCCTCAAAGCAAGCATGAGAGAGCTAGGTTTACTAATTTTCTTTCTCTTCATTGGGGTAATCTTGTTCTCTAGTGCTGTATATTTTGCTGAGGCTGAAGAACCTGAGTCTCATTTCACAAGTATCCCTGATGCTTTCTGGTGGGCGGTGGTATCCATGACCACTGTGGGCTATGGTGACATGTACCCTGTGACAATTGGAGGCAAAATCGTAGGCTCCTTGTGTGCCATCGCTGGTGTGCTGACAATTGCCCTGCCTGTACCTGTCATCGTGTCCAACTTCAACTACTTCTACCACCGAGAAACAGAAGGGGAAGAACAGGCTCAGTTGCTTCATGTTAGCTCCCCTAATTTAGCATCTGACAGTGATCTCAGTCGCCGCAGCTCCTCCACAATCAGCAAATCTGAGTACATGGAAATCGAAGAGGATATGAATAATAGCATAGACAATTTTAGAGAGGCTAATCTCAGAACTGGCAACTGCACTGTAGCCAATCAAAACTGCGTTAATAAAAGCAAGCTGCTGACTGATGTATAAACACAAAGGAAAAAATCCCCACTCACAGCTTGAGGACTTTAAGTGACATAGTCACACTTTGTAAATGCTTTACTGATAGTCTTTGAATGCTTTATTGACTTCGTAAATGCATTATTGCATTGCGATTTTTTGCTCAGTGATAAAGAAGCTTCCAGGATCCATGAAAAATAAGTTTTTGTTTATTTAAAAAAAATCTGCTACATTTTAATCCTTTGAACTAGTTTAGTTTTAAACTATATAATACTAGACCTAAACTTTTCCTCTCTCTCTGTTTTTTTTTTTTTTATTAACTTATAAACAACAAAGTTTTAAAAACTATAAAGCATATGCATGGATTATGGTAAAAATATTCTGCCAGATTGCACAACTGCAAGAAGTTGCATCAGTTAATAAAGAAAAAAGTTCAGCCAAACCATGCATCAAGCATTTGCCATTGTTTTTATGAAGGAGTGCAAATTTTTTTCCACCTCCTATATGAAAAATTACATAGTTCTAATATACAGATACACACAGAACCTTAGTAAAAATTCACATCAGCCTAGTCTTTTTTGCTATGCTTATAACTGTTCTAAGGGAGGAAAACAATCAAAGAAAACTGAAGACAAAATATCTGCAGTGCTGCTATGTTTTCTTAAGTGCAGATGGTTTAAACACACTTTTCCCTGACTAGGACTGGATAGAAAACAAGTAGTCCCTCTGTTGCAAGATAGCACAATGGAGTTTAATACAAGCATGTTTGAATTTGATAATAGTTATTTTATAATCGCATGCCTGAAACATACCTCAGACAATAGCAGATAAGCTTTCGTTTGAAATGTATCTTCTAAAAATAGATTCTTTATCTCTTTTTTTCTTCTTCCTCTTTTCATTTTTGATTTGCATTCACCGAAAGTGCACTCCTTAATTTATTAAATCATTGATTAGTAATTTAAAGTACTGTATTTAAGTGCATATGTTAGTCAAAAGGGAGCTTTTGGAGATCAAAGCATGTTCAAATATTCAGCATTATGCCCTATTTGAATAAAGTGTAGCTTTAATAAATGCATGAATTGAATAATAATAATAATAATAATAAATAAATAAATAAATAAAAAAGTTCTTATTAGACGGAGGGTCTGAATGAACTGACTAGAAAAAATGGATAATTTTCCTGCATTGTTCAGGGAAATGTGTTGGTGTTTGTCCAGGCATTATTCAGAAAGGAACATAAGCCATCCCTTAAAAGGAAAGTGATATGGAAAATTAAGAAGTGAAATTATGTATAGCTACACTTAAGAACTAGCAACCTTTATATTTGAAAGGTGCAGGTGCATGCCTTTTGGTGCATTTTCAGAATGTAAATGAAACTTATGTATTATATGCATCCAAACTGCAGCAGCTGGTTTCTCTTTCGGTATAATTGATGTGCTTTAAAAAAATCCCCTAAAACTCACTGAAGAAATTCAACAGATTGATTTAGATAGTTGCGCAGTGCCTTTATCACATATCCTCTGAACTGTTGAAAGTGCCTCCAGGAATTAAGCAGATCAGAGATAACCAAGGTCCTACACAGGCAAGGTACCTACATGGGATCTGGAGTAGTCTGTGCACCTCCTGGCACAGAATGGAAAGATACAGAGGAGGAAAGAAAAAGAGAATTTGGGTGTGAGGGGCACAGAATAGAAGTGCAAAGACTTCCAATGTCCTCTGCTATATAATTCATAATCATCTTTATGCAAGATTTCAAATTTCTCTAGATTGTTTATAGAAGTATCGCTGCCATCATTGTAATTCACCTTCATTTCCCCAAGATGGCTCTTTGGCAGCTTCTTCCAGAACAGCAAGACACAGGAGGAATTTAAGACCAGAATTAATGCAGCATCACCTGCAGTCAAGGGACCAGACTGGAGAGCTGCCCTTTTCTTTCTCTTGGGTTCCTCAAGAAGCAGATGAGAAAGTGTTTTCAGTGCTCATCCTTGCCTCTCCTATCTGCTTTCAGCAATAGATCAAATCTCATCACAGATACTTCAAGATCTTTTCTGGTCCTTATCTCCACTCTACTCTCACTGTGGTCTAGTGAAGAAAGCAAAGCTTGGACAACATATCTTCTGCAATTTGCCAGCCTTGAATACTAGGCCCTGGGAGATTGCAGCCTTTGTTCTCTGCTAGTAGAGACACTAACCTTTACTTTTTTAAAGGAGAAAGTTGAGGGTCTTCATTCTGCACTTAGCGTGTGGCCAACTACAATTGAACACTTTCCCACTGTACAGATCCCTTCTTCCCCTGTCTTTCTTATCTGATATACCTATATATGTCTATAAACATGTGTGTGTCTGTGTGCATAGATGTGCATTTGCACACATATGCTCACACATGCACACACTCAAAGTAGTTAGATTAAAAAAATACCACTTAACTCTGTAGTTACACACAAGCATGACATAACAGATTTCCAGAAAGACTTGACTTCTCACTATGCGGCTTTTGTGAATCCTAATGATGAGAAAGTGATCAGGGATTGAGATATCTCTGAATTCTGCAAGAAACACAAAACAACAACTAAAACAGGACATTATATGCTCTAGGAGGATATTGCTTCTTATTCTGTCTCCCAGTAACTCACTCGTGCACATTGTACACCTGTCTCCCCATCAAAATCTAGTGGCCCTCATCTTTCTAAGCTCTTGAATTTTAGGATGTGGCTTCTTATGTCGAGAATGCTGCAATCAACTTATCAAACAAACAACTAAAGAGCAATAAGCAATTCACTGATATAGGATTTGTGATCATTAAGTAGCAACAAGGAGATACAACCTCAGTTGTATCTGAGCTTAAATTCTGACCTAGTAAGATATCCATACCTTAGTTTAATGGTCAGAATGATAATTATTCTTGTGAGTGAAAAAAAACGCTGCCTATAGCAATTCTTTTTGTCAGGAGGTGGGGACGGAATGTTAGTGCTGGGGATGACTTGGGGTGTATGAATGTTGCTTTGCTTATTTGAAACTCATTTGAAAAGATTTCGATAAATATTGAAATATTTCAGGAATTAACCCCATGTAGCACAGGCATGTGTCTCAGACAAGTATGACACAAAAACAGACAAAAAAAATCTTCACTCCTTTACAGAGAAAAGCAGAAATGTCTGCAAGTGCACTTAAAACAACAGGCATCTCTTTCTATATTTCTTTCCTTTTTCTTTTCTTCTCTGTTTTACCCTACATTTCTTTTTTTGCTACACAACTTGAGCTTTGTGGGGCCAGTTTAAAATTAAAATTAACTGATGTCTGGTTTAGTGCTTGACTGAAAGATGGAAGAGAACTCTATTTGCTTGCTAGGAAGCTCCCAAAAGTGATGTCTGAGTTGTACTGAGTATTAGAGATAGAGCAGCTTTCCTTGGGGTATTGTTTGATGAGGTCAGGCAGGAACACCAGCATATATCCCCCTTTTACCAGACATTACAGTGCTGCCTCCTTTAGATATTTTTTTCTCTTGCTGCTTTGTGAAGTAGATGAGAAAATTTATCTGGTATGATCAAGGCAGCAGTGCAGAGGTAGGACTGAAATAGGAGAGCAGTGGGCAAGAATCCCATAAACTATTATCATAGCTCAAACTCCCCATCTGGTGCTACCAGCCTTGTCTGTATAAGGACTAGGGAAAAGACAGAGAAATAAGTGGGAGATGAAAGACTGTACCTCTTTCCTTAATAGAATCAAACAGTTTCTATTAGCTGCAAAAAGCTTCAATCTTCTGTGCTATAGCTTCAGCATAGGCAATAAACTGGATTAATTTATCTTCGGGAGGCTGTTAGTGTCCTCCTCTTAGTGTTAGCAGTATGCCAAGGTGTGAGTTCATGACTTCCTGGAAAATCTATACAAACTTCCTGCATGGAAATTCATCAACTCTATGTCCACTAGGGACTTCAGGAAAGCTAATCTGAATTAATGAAAGGTGTGTTTTTAAAGTAGATTTGTTAAAGTGCATTCAAGCCCAGCATGGACATTCTGTTGCAGTACAAAAGCAGCCTTAATCTGATTTGGGTTCATTCTTTTTGTCAGGAAAGTAAGCTGAATTGAATTAAGGCTGCTTTAATTCTGAACACAATGGGGCTTAGTGCAGTTTACCTCATCTGCCTCACAAATTCATTCAGATATAGACAAGCCTTTAGTAATCATTAAATGTAATGGAACTGACCTTTCTTTGTAAAGGGTGACTCGGAGAGCATAGCCACATGGCACAGAATGCTCTGTACGCAACAAGAGCATGTATATAGACAGTGAGAAAATTACAGCCTGGCTTGCTGAGCACAAATATACGAGTTTTGGTACAATTGCAGTGATTCACTTCATTTGTTCATGATTTACACATTTGTAAAAGTGAGAAGAATCAGCTCTCTGCCTTCTGTGAAGTTACCCTGGCAATGATCATGACCCAAGGAAATTAATGTTCACTTTACAAATTCTTTATCTGTGCAAATGCTTAACTTATTAAACTGTCAATCATTTCAAGTGGGTAGGCACTTGAAAGACACAGTACCATGCACTAGAGACCAAATAGCCAAAAAAACCTATTGATTTCAATATTGGCTGATAGTGAGATCAGACCCTTAGCAAATCAACTGTGTATAGTTCAATAGAGACTGCATGGGCCCAAATAAGCACATGTAATGTTAAAAAATCACTTATATTCTGGGTCTGAGGAACTGAGGGCAAATTTTACTCTTCCACAGTTCAAACTTCGACAGTGCAGCTTCTTATATGAATATATTAATTGAAATAAAATTAAAGTAAATGCAAGGGCAAGAACACCTGAAATTCATCAGAAAAGAATGGGAAGTTATATTTTAGAATAATATCTATTGTGCACATATATTATATACATATATATATGTATATTTTTTCTTTTCTCGTATTACCTTCATAACCTTTAGAGGATTTACATCCTGAAACTAGCATAAAGAAAAAGGAAGTAACAAATCTTCTATTCTTTTTCCTTTGGGAAAGGGTCTGATCTCCTAGTCATTCAGCAGCCTTTTTCCATTGATTTTTGAGGTAATTTTGGACTAACGGAATCAGTTGGAATCAGTTCCAAAGTGTGATTTACATTTCGTAGCCCTAGAGCTGGATTGAATTAGAAAGCTGTCCTCACAATTGCACAACATGGCAAGCTTGTTTCAGCCTGTATATAACAAGCCTGAAACAGATTCCTTTCTCAGATGCTTTAATCAGGGATCTACATTTCAATTCCAGTTGGACTTTTCTTCAGTC